GTGCGCTGGTATGTGGGTAATTAGTAGGGGTATATATTTGGGCGTGCTGGTTTTGTCTTTCATCTCGGTCTTGCTGTTCCAGCGTTCGGGTCATTTTTATTTGTTTTTGACTTTTTAGGGTGTGTGTGTGTGTGTGTTCTTTTTGCTTTTGTTTTGCAGATGTTTTCAGCTCTACTATGTGGTTGGATCTTCGGGCTGCGGTTCCCCAGGGATCCAGTGCTTTACAATCCCTTGCAAGTTCTCTTCCGGATGTTGCGTTGGCTAGCAGAGCACCCAGTACTTCCTCCAAATATTTTTCTTCTTACAACAGATGTAGGTCTTGGGCACGAGAACATGGCTTGACAGTTTTTCCTGCTTCTCCGTTTCACTTTGCTATCTATTTGCGTCATTTAATGACTGAGGCGAGGACAGCATCTCCCCTGGAGTCAGCATTTCACAGCATTGCCTGGTGTCACCAGCTGGGTAGCGAGCCGTCTCCTTCTGATCATCTGTTGGTGATGAGTATTCTTGTCGGTGCGCAGCGTTTGCTGGCCCATCAAACAACAAAGAAGGAGCCTATTACAGTCTCTCAGTTAGAGCAGTCAGTGGCCTCCAAGGCGGACTCAATGGCCTCTTTGTATAATATTCGTTCAGTTGTTATTTGCTTACTAGCTTTTGCTGCCTTTCTCAGATTTGATGAGCTTGCTAAGCTTGTTCGATCCGATGTTAAGATCGATGACATGTTAAAGTTATTTATTCAATCTAGTCAAACTGATCAGTATAAAGATAGAGCTTTGATTGTTGTAGCTTCTTCTAGGAAATCAACTTGTCCGGTTGCTATGATGAACCGTTATTTAGATAGAGCTGGGCTTTCCTGCGATAGCCCTTTGGTTTGTCAGCTTTCCAAAACTAAATGTGGTTGTAAGCCTAGATCTAAATGTTTAAGCTATTCAAGGTTAAGAGAGTTAGTGCTAGAGGCCTTTAAAGATATTGTTCCTGATATTTCTGCCATGGGTACGCATAGCCTTAGGAGTGGCGGGGCCACTGCTGCCGCAAATGCTGGCGTACCAAATCGACTTTTTAAGCGTTATGGCCGCTGGGGTAGTGAATCGGCTAAGGACGGAGATGTCCAAGATTCTTTATCTTCTCCTTTGTCGGTTTCTAAGGCTTTAGGTATTTAGTTTTCTCGTTCGTACCGCTTTTAATTGATTCTAGTTTATATTTATTTGGTTTTGCCCGGGGGACCGCTTTTCATGGGGTACAGCTGGCCTTGGGTTTTCCTCCTAGGTGCAAGTGGACGTACGGGGAGGTTTTTCACCCAGCTGTTGTTCCACTACCTCATTTCAATTTAATTTAGCTTGCGATCTAGTTTTTTGGAGCTGTATGTTACTTGGATTGTATATTACGTTTCTATGATATGGTATGTATCTTTTAGTCTTTTCGTGAATAAACCGAGCGCTTGGCTTGAAGCGAGCTGCACCCAAGGTTTGTGTGTTTTTCTTGTTGGGACAAACTGAAATTTAGAGGAGAGTATCTGGGAAACGCACACCGAGACCAGTTAAGCAGAATAAGCTTACGACACTCAGTAAGCAAAAAAAAATGTGACACGAATTAGGGTTGCTTTCCACGAATCAACGGCTTTACTGTTCCCAAATACCGAATCATGAACATAGGCCAGTTATTTCCCAATTTGTTTTGCTTTGTTTTGCTTTTTTTGTCCAATACGTAATCAGCAATTTGGGTCTTATCTGTTTTACCTTTATTAGGTGTATTGCAATTGACAGTTTTGACTTTATTTATGAGGACAGAGCAACAACTTTTAGTGCCGTGAGTTGGATTACACAATGAATGTTTTACTTAAAACAACTGTCGTTAAGTCAATAGCACTTACCATCAGGAAAGGAAAATGTAAAGTGGTAAAAAAGAATATTCTAAAGGGATTTAAGAGCGACTTTCTGTAAATACCACGGATAGGTGTGCAAGATGGAAAAATCGAAATCCCCCAAACTTTGTCACAACAAAGCCCTTTGGAAACTATTTTAGAAAATACAAGAATCAGTTCGCTTGACTTAATATTTTCCAAAATAATAATTTTTTGTAATTTTCACCTTCGAGAGGCCTTCAAACCACCGAAAAATGTGCTTGATACCCTCGCTTTGTGAATGGAAACGGAAACTAAAACCATGACGTTTCTTATATTAAAAAATTTTTTGATCCTTCCTTTCTGCCTAAACGTTGTTACAATTTCAAAAGATTGCAATCTGATTTTTTTATATTTTTTCAAAATTACCCTCTAAATCAGCATTTTTGCGACCATCAATTTTGCCACTTTTCAACGGTAAAAATCCCTTCCTGGTACATGGCTTTCATTAGAAAAATGGTATTCCAGAGAAAGAGCAATGCTTCCCCTATCAATCTGTGAAATAAAATTCTGGGGCAATTGAAACTGCGAGTTTTAACAACTGGAAACAGTTATGGTACTTGCGTGATTTACGACCTTTGAACTTGCCATTGTGTTGATGAATACAAGTGAGAACTTAGCCAGCACTTGAAACTCTGGCACAAATTCGCCCCTTTTCCGACAGTTTAAACACCAAAAACGATTTTCGATTTTACAGTGGTATATTTTCAAAGGAAAAGCAATTTTATTGTGCGAAAGTGTGCTATGAACTCCTTGACTACAACACTTCCGTTACGTGCGTATTTGTTTACTTTTGCCGTATTTGTAACAGTTATCATATATGTACAAAACGGCTTTAGTGTCGGTAGCTATTCTTTAAAAGGCTCTTATTTCTCATAAACCAAATCGTTATAGCTATAAAAAAGGAAAACTATTTGACCTACTTCACATTATTTGACAACAGACCCGAATTCTTTACGTCTTTAGCGAAACGAGATTGCGTGACAAAGAACTTTGAGACCCAGGTTATACCGCGAAGACAGATACCATTCCGAAAAAGACACTCACGCGGCGCCTTTTTGTATGAAAACGTAACACTAAAAATAATATTTTCCACAAGAGACTATGAAGTGGTGGGCCCTTAAAAGTCTCTTACTTTCCATAAACGCCTGCTTACAAGTTTTGAAATACGATTATGAATTCCTTACTTGTATCCTTAGAAACATAGGCACGTTAAACGTGCATGAGCTATTTTGAATGCTTCAGTGTAACTATAATACTTCGGTGTAACCTTGCCAAGAGTGATGAATCTACCTTTTTCATCCTAAATGTAGATTTGGTTTTTGTGCGAAATTGGGTATTGCGCTACATAAATGAAAACGCGAAACGCTCAGCTGAGTCTTCCCTCTGTCTTTCCCTGTTACATCTGGTGCAAGTTGAACAAATTGTTTAAGTAAAATAAATTTCTACTCGCCAAACGTTGATTAGAAGGAAAACTCTAAGGTTTCCTCGGAGTTTCTTAAGCCAAAATGTGACTCATCGAATACCGAATAGTTACGAAATACCAGGATTTTTATCATTGTGGTAGATGGTTGCATCATCATAATTCACGAG